GTGATCCTCGGTCACCCAGGCGTACCAGCTCCGCTCCATTCCTGTCCATCAAAGCGCAGGCTGATCCGAATGACGCGTGGTCTTACTTTCGTTGGAGAGCCTGGATGCAGCAGTGCGCCTCGCAAACCGACTGTCTCGTAGTCTGGGACTCGTAGGCATCAAGTCGAACCTGTAGGGAAAGACGGGCGCATTGGATCGATCCATGTGGTCCAGCAAGGCTTCAGAGTGGGAACGGTTCAGCACGGGTTTCGGTGGCTTGACAACCTCGGCTCCGCTGAATGGGTCGGATTTGGTGTGCGGGAGCTTGGGCTTGCCGGATGGGGAAGCGGCGCTAGCCAAAGGTGGCAAGTCGTTCGAGGAGGAGGCTCGAGGGAGAGGAGGCTTGCCAGAGAAGGTGGGCGATAGCGCTCCGCTTGCAGCCTGCCTTCCGTGGACCGGAAGCCCTTGGAGCTCCTCGTGAGCTTGCTGGTAAGTTCGCACTGTTGGCAGATCCACCTTCGGCTTCACCTTGGAAGCTGACTGCTTTACCACATTTGGGAAGTTGCCACTGAAAGGTAGCCAGGATACGCTGGACTTGTCGTACACGAAACGCGTTCTTTTCGCGGGCGCTTCGTTCATGTTGCCCACAATCATGTAAAGCTTGTCGAGCTCATCATGCTGCGACAGCCGAGGGAAGGTCAACACTTCTGACCGGGCGAGTGCTCCCAAACAATATCCTTGCCCTCCTTCACCAGCGGCACTCACCAGGGTATGCTTGAGCGGCCTATAAGTCTGTGGATCGACAGCCTTACCGTGTGCACGCAAGAAGCCCTTGCCTGGGTGCCACTCGAATTTGAGGCTTCCCTTGGAATCGTGATAGGCCACGTGGTGGCCAGGCGGGATCTGGCATTGTCGGATTGGAATGCGAAGGCTCGTCAGTTTGGGCTTCAAGTTCTAGACGAGGAAACGACGGTAACTCACGTCTTCCAATCTCGGATTCCTGAGCAGATCAAATCACGATTTGAGAAGCCATGAAGGCGTCAGTCTCTATGACGTCCTAGCTGGCCTGCATGCGCCACTACTCACTCGGGAACGATCGGGTGGAGGCTGCCCTCAGAAACTTTGCTACCCTTTGCCACTGCCGTCGTGTATGTCGCCTCCGGGAGGGAGCCCACATGGTGGCCGCTATTGGCGAGGTCAGCTCGATGAGGAAGGAGTTCGTAACCGGTCTGGTCGAGCTTGTTCCAGGGTACCGTCAGGACATCGGGAGGTGGCAAGGGAGCGGCCTGTACCCGCCCACTGCTGCTCGGGTCGTGGAGCAGAAGCAGCGCAAAAGTAATGGCGAAGAAGCCCGCGAAATGATAGCCACGTCTGCTGCCTAGTGGAGCGTGTCGGCTCGAGGTTGCCAAGTGACAAGTGGACATCGCTGGCGTGAGAGAATCTTGACAAGTACCAAAGGTTGATCACAGATCTGTGCGTAGAAGGTAGAAGAGGCGGCTGTCAAAGCTCGTTGTCTGATGAACCAGAGGAGGTCGGGTACGAGCGAAACGCACCTCTTATAGACGACCAAGCACACTGCGTGATTCGCTCTGCAAGCCTACACAAGTGGGCACGGCATGCATCAAAGCGACACTCTTCTTGTCAATGATCTTGACAAAGTTCGCCACCATGGAAACTTGCGCCAGCAGAGAGCGGCCCGACTGCTCTCAAAACGATTATGAGCGAAAGCATGAGCTTCTTCCGCCGACGTCCCGAGCGGGGTCAGTGGGGCACCTTGTGACCACCATTCCCGACGTCATGCTCTGCATTCCTTGCTCGCTTTGCTCCCCACATTCTGCCACTTTGCGAAAGTGTGGATCTCAGAGGCGCCAAATGGCTCGGCGAAGCCTGGCGTTACCCGCATTGAAAGTGGAGAGGACATGCCAAATACGGAGGCGGGAGAGGAGGATGCCTTCATGCCTTACTTGCAGCGTGGGTGAACGCGGGTCTTCGCCACTCGTTGCTTTCTTCTCAGTAGGCTGCAGGCCTTTTGCCTTCGAACACAGGCCCTTGTCTCCACGCCGTTGGCATTCTGTCGTTTGCTGGACCACGTATGACAGCGTCTCGTCTTGTTGACTTTTCCTACGCGAAGCTTTCAACGTGAGCGCCGGGGGGACCCCTTCGGCCGCGAGCATCGATCCCCAGTGCAAAGGCAGTTAAGCCGTGGCTTTCTTCCGTTACGATCGACTTGAGATCGACTTTTGAATGTCGGTGCGCAATGGCGAAGAATTGGGAGTGCATTGCTTGCCTTCGCTTTTCACGGGAGAGTCGCCTCTAGTTCTCATCTTCCTAACGATGATGCGTCGTCTAAACTCAAGCTCGACCTCTTCGGCCCAGGCACCTTCTATTGACGTTCCGGAAATAGTTGAGCGAATGCGCCGAACTGAAAGCATAACTGCCTATGGTCTGACCGATGCCTGATGGAAAGGCTGTGCCTTGCTTGATAGCCTAGACGGGCGGACCATACGATTTGCTAGGTTCCGTTGACAGGGTGTAGGCTGATACATTCAGCGAGCGGCTGGCTCCAACCTCTGAAGGTGAGTGAGCACGGGGTGCTTCTTCATTCCGCTGTCACTTTGCGCAGATCAACGCATGTGGACCACGAAGACGCTCAAAAGTCATAGCCCCACTATTGGCGCAGACGACCCATACGCCTCGTGCATGTCTTGCTCTCGTTGGTGAAGAGGGATGCGTGGCGACGAAAAAGACGGAGCAGAGTTGGGGCGGAGACGGCTTCGCGGTTTCTAGGAGTAGACACTGCAGTGTCCGGGGAGGATCGCTGGGCAAAATAGGATTCCGAGCGGCCTGATACGACTTGCTGAACAGCCGAGCTGGCACCGAGGCGCAATGCGACGCCGATGAGCTCACGCACTGGTTCGCGGGGAGGGGTTGAGAGCACCGAGATTGTGGGGACTCGAGACTGCGCCAATCGATGACTGATGGGGCACACGCGTTGTTCGATTGCACGACTTTGATGGAGCGCAGAATGGCAGCTCCTGGCGAGAATCAGAAGAGCCGTGACTATTCTCGAAGGCGAAGTCGACGGACTCGAATAACCAACGTTAGCCGATGTTGCTACAAGTGCGGAAGCATGTATGCTTCCGAGACGGTGCTGTGACTCTCTGCGAGATGAGCGGTGATCAGCATAAGTCACCACTCTACAGTCTGCAGCGCACCTACAGCAGAGACTCACCAAATGCTTCCCCTCGAGGCGCTACCGGAAGCGTCGGTCCTCTGACGCTTGTTCTCCTCGCTGTATTCGTCGTCGGCCTCAGTCTCCAACGGCCGCCTGAGTCGAGATGACCCAGCAC